TATGCACGACACTGGCATGACTGAGAAGGTATGTGTCCTACAATTTAATATACATGTTACGACCTACTAATACACTTGTTCTAACAACAGAAGGACCTAACCAATGATGAGGTCCCATACATCCCCTCCAAGTCGACTGGCCTTCAGCCCAAGAAATATTCTACGGCCCCGCAAAAAGTCGATTCTAATTCGACTCCTCTCCTCCCCGACTGGTCGCAGAAGCTCCCTCGAGATCGTTACGAGTACGTCCATGACGGTTACTCCTCTCGAGTTGAGACCAGAGGCATGAACCGTGATTGGCCATGGTAGCCAATGGTGCACGACCGTCATTGATGGAAGCGCAGGGAACGTAGCTGGGTCTCTCAATACCTTCCAACGACCTTCTAGCTCGTTCTCTACGCTTTGATGCGACCATAGGAGGTCCCAATGTAGCCCCGCTTTTCGGGGAGACAGAAGCAGCCGATGCAATGCCACTTCGATGCCGTATTGCGTAGGGAGAGGGATAGGTCGCCGACGGCAAGGCACAGGAGGACGTATTTCTGTACCGTTCGCTTCGTGGGTTTCTGAAAAAGGAAATTGTGGGGAAGGCACAGGAGGACTTGTCGTGGACGGCGACCAACTGTCGTTGTTTGTCATTGTCAGGGACGTTTCACGGTACTCTCCTGCCACAGAGAGGGGATACATTATCGTTTGCGATGACCCCGTGGCATTGGGAGAATCTCCGATGAACCGCCCTCTCATAAATCCTCGTGGCGTACTATATGGTGGAGAGCGGACTATATCATGGGTATGTCGCGAAGATGGGGTGGCCATTGTGCTTTGCACTAGGCTATTTGATGTTTTCTACATCCTGGTCAGCCTCACAACATCGACGAGACGCTTTCCTCTCTCTCGATGACCTTACCTATGGTCTTGAGACTCGAAGGTGCTCTCCGACCCTTTGTCCGGAGGTTTGGGAACGGGGGAAATTGGGGGGAGAGGCAAGGAGACGGCGGGAGACGATGGTTGTAGAATTGAGGAAAGATGGTTCGACATGGGTCGATTATTGGGATGGTCTTATATAGGTGCAGGCGGGGGTAACTCACGCGTCACGCCCGACTTGCCTGTCTTGTCTGTCACCGTCACCTCAATTCATTCGTTGATCCCCAAAGTGACCTCTCGCATCCGTATTAAGCCCCCCAGTGCTTTCTCCTCAGAGCTGGTCACAGCCTTGGGCGCCACTGTGCGCGACTTGTTAGATGGCACATTTGAGTATGCGCTTGATGTTTTATTCGGGTTTGAAATTTCATTATGAGACATGGCCCTGGGCTTTCGTTCGTGCGTCGGGGTGTTTGTGTATACTCTCTTCTAGCAACATCTTCGACGTCATCTATCTTTCCTTGTGGTATACGGATATCTTTCGTCCTTTGCTTATAATGAGCCCATAGTGCCTTGAACTTCGAAGAAAGGACCAGCAGTTGGTTGATAACCCAAATGTCGGCTGGAGTCGACGACTGGGAGAGCCTATGAAAATGCCAATTGGTAAGCAAAACACTCGGGATGATGAAGGACCGGGATATGGTTGAGAAGAGTAGGTACAAGTACTTGTTGATGTTCCCAGACTTGCAGAGTAGGTATCGAGCGTCGGAGATAAATCACTCGTTTTCCGGCTCACTATAACCCCACCTGAGAAAACTATGAGGAACGCGTGTTGTGCCATGGGTAGGAGTAGACGTTTCTCAGATCGCGGCTCGGATGGATTTCAGGCATCTCGAACGAGTAACAACTGGTACCTACTTTGACCTGAGTATCGTAAAATCATAACACCAACCACTTCTTCCCGCGTCCCTCTTCCCAGATCCCACAATCATAACGGTCGCTTCAATGCCCCGCTTTATAGTTGCTTAGGATCACTATCATCCAAGTCGTTTATATCCAGAGAAGCAATCTTCCTCGTAGCTCGGGCGTTGATGTACAGCGCTAAAAATCCGACTGGGGCCCAGGTCATAATCAGTAGGGTCCCGAGAATACACACGTTCATCGAATCAACTCACGCAGTAACGATAAACAACCCATAAGAGCACCAGCAGCGATATTGAAATCACACATATCTTGCCATCCGAATGCGCGTTCCGTCGAACAGTTGATTCCGACGAAGGTCAGGTCGAGTGCTGTCATGACTGAGAGGTGTGCGGGGGGGAAGGGGGGGGAGTTCGGTCAACTTGGGTTCAATGGTTTGAGGGTTTACTTACCGATGAACGCGATACACAACAAGAAAGTAACCAGAAAATTGACGTTCACGCGTGTGAGAACGCTCTTTCGAGTGGACGGTGGACGGCGGTTGTATGCGAGCCTGGTCGGGAGTATGTTGATTTTCTTCGTGTCGATAGAGGGATCGATAGTACGTACAAGATACTAGCCCATACCCAAGTGAACAAGGCGAACAAGAGGGTCGCACAGTGAAGTCCCACTACGATCCGTTGTCTAGTACAACATTCCGAACGAAGGATAAAGAACTCACTGATAAACCACCTCCCGATAACCAGACCCGTACTCGCTGGGTACTGAGAGGCTGTCGCGAACCCCAACGATGCGATAGCGTCTACCGCTAGGGCAAAGAAGATGATCAAAGCTGTTAGACCGTAGTGAGAAAAGAAAAAACAAAAACGAGTCAAGTCTTCAGAAATGGGACTTGCAATAAAGTATCGTCCGGATTTGAGCGGGAGCGAGTGCCATAGTTTCGGTCGTATGATTTTGGGAGGGAGATGGGGGGCAGGTGCCTTGAGAAAAAGAGACCAACGAGGTGTGGGGTACTTTTTATACGATGCTGGGACTGTTCTGAGCTCAACATTGAACGAGTACATTCAGTGAAAAGGTGTTGAATTGGGAAGACCGTCATGAGGTCTTTGAACAGAGTGACATTACGTGTGGTGTCAAACTCAGCCTGCTGCGGAAAACTAGAGTTGGGACCTCCAGGCTGGGGGTAGTCGCATTCTCAGTTGACGAGGATCTGAATTCTAGATATCGAGCTGGAGGAAAAAACATATCAGTAGCTTGCCTGTCAGTTCGCGGAGACGAGAAAGACATTACATAGTACTGCGCCCAATGTTCACAAAGCACGGTTCTCTCACACACGCTCTGTGAACACGACGACACAATCCAATAGAGTATCATCCATCTCGAATGAAAAGCGCAGCAGCTGTGGAACCCGTCCTTTAATGAACCATTTAAAAGCAAACCTTTTGAGACGGGCGCGATGTGTACTGCGGAATGATGATTGCCAAAGGTTCGACGATAGGGTATGCACTATAGAGCGAGAAAAAAAATATTCATTTGTCGATGTCGAGCAAAGCCAAGAATGATTCGGGGATATCAGGGACCATCGTAAAAGGAGGTCCGTTTTCCCGAGCCGCTCCATCTTTCCATCCATCCACCCACCCACCAGCAGCAAAGTGTCTTACGGCCCTCTTCACTCTCTGCATCTCCGATAAAAAACTCGCTCTGACCCTTCGAACTGAATAGTACATCAGTTTCACGGCGGCTTGAAACAGGGTTCCAGCTTGCTTGAGAGGGCCGTCGTCGTACACTGAAAGTTGATTCAGGCGAGATCATTCGATTCTGTGTGACCAACCAGGAGAGAGTCAGGTATAGGTTCAACAGCCGATATTGAAGCAACACATACGTTGCTTGGATGACAGCAGAGTAACGGGAGTTCATGCCCTCCGGTTGATGACGACAACGGTCTTAGTAGTTGATGCTACGAGACGACGGTGAGTCCATATTCTTATACAGATTGTGAAGAGGCAGAAGGGGAGGGATGAAGGATAAGGCAGAGGCGCGAACAGAGAACGGTACGAGAACTTGGAGGTAAAACTACTCACTGGGTGACCACGTCACGAAGGCTGCCCCTCTCGCGTTCCAGAACTCGGAGCACGTCGTCTTTTCCTGTCTACGTTCCATTGGCTCCTTCCCCTCTCGTCCGCTTTACTCTTCACAGAAGACCCCCTTTCTCCTCGTTCAGAGCTTGACAGTCTTCCCCCATCACCCCCACCATCGCCCCAAGCCCTTTCTCGAAAGCGAACCGCGATATCCATTCCTATCACCTGGCCGACGATTCCCCTCCACTGAAGCCCTCGAAAACGAAGCCAGCCAGACGGAAGGCCGCTTGAAGGAGAGACGTGAGTTGCAACGATATGGGTGTCGATGTAAGGAATCCAGAGGGATCGGATAAGTGCCATAGGTTGGCAAGAAACTCCAAGGTATATGTTGTTTTGAAATGAGCTTCCAACGCGTATGTTCATAGTAAAGCTGTCTTGGTAAGAGTTCGCCATCCGTATAACTGACACAGATTGTAGGTCCCCGATCTCCAAATTGAATCATACGTGGCGAACTAGTCGAAAGGAGTCAGAGGTTGGTTGGTAAATGGTACGCCTTTGACGATTGCTGCTCACCGGCACCTCGTGAATCCTACTCAGTAACACTTAGGATATCTCGGGAAACGCGTTTTGAGGAGCCATGCGATGCGAAGGTGGGTGACTGCCATCGAATGTTAGAAGTGTTTTCATTGGCCTAGGCGGGCAAAGCAACTTGCGAACTGGGTGATTGAGAAGAATCGTGAAGGTGATGGATTTGAGAACACACCTCAGGCCCAGCATAATAGAACCTCAACCGGACATGAGCATGTCGAACACCGCATCTTGTTTTGTGCATCCTTCTAGTCGTTTGACTGGGGTAACGGGGCGAAGAGATCGTGAAGGAGTCAATCGAAATATAACAAGCTAAAGAGACCAGGTAGCGTACCAAGGCATGTCGCATAAAATGACATCCGGCTTCAAGCTTCAGCTTCATGATGAATCATGATTGCCTTGGATTGTTGACGGGAAGTGAGAGCTCAAGCATTGTAGTGCCGTTGAGGCTTTTTGCGAGATGGAAGATCGGGTCGAAGATCTAAAAGCCTGAGGTCACGGTGGGATCGACCAGGAACTTGCGGTTATATTTGAGCTTGCCCAATCCGGTTTACGACACCGTTGGTGAAGTGGTTATCATGCTTGCCTTCCATCATGGATGATACGATATCTATACCAGAGCAAGCGGCTCGGGTTCGATTCCCGAACGGTGTATATCGCGCATCTATCGCATCAATTTTTGCTTGGAGTTTTGCACATAGCCGGTGTGCGCTCGTTTCGTCTACGGTCTACCCCTCCTTCCCAGTTGAATTAGCCTGAAGCTTGTGTGGAATGAACAAAAAACACAGGCGAGCTTTCTTGAATATGCCACATTTTTTATGGCCGCTCGGTTGATGGCACTATAGCCCACAACCTGTGCCACTTGTGAGTTGTACATGGCGGTCCACTGCGACTTGTACCTCGCCGGTGATGCATGATACACATGGTCTGCAGATCCGTGCTGCGTAGAGGCCTGCGGAAACTAGGTCGGGGACGCCGAAATTGATTGTTACTACCATCGGATGGTTCCGCACTAGGTTGACTCGGAAGATAGGTTCAGGTTATGAACCGCCTGAGCTCCCGGCGAGGAACTGAAGTATTGAGTGATCTTGGTGACTGAATGCCGCAAAGTCGTTGCGTGTGTACTCGGTCTTGCTACTGCGCAAAGCCGTGTAAACCGTGTAGGTCGTGATGTACTCTCGGTCTTCCCTTCGCCACAGTACTGCGGGTCTCAGAGAGGTCGGCAGCTGAAATAAAGAGCCGCATTCAGTGAAAAGGAATCAAGCGATATATAAGACCTCGTTCATCATTGTGGTACAGTAGTCCCGGCACTCATTCATTTTCTTTCTACCAATTAACTATATACTTCTCACTTCTTTCGACTACGACTTCTATTGACTATGAAGTTCTACTCTTCTATATTCACTCTTTTTTGTCTCTCTTCAACCGCGACTGTCCTTGGTGGTGTGATCCCTCGCCGACTCGGACGCCGGGATTGTGATAATGGAGACCCTCACGACATGGTCGACTGGTCCCAACATCAGTTCCAAGCTCCTACGGAGACCGATGCTAGAAGTCCGTGCCCTGGGTTGAATACGTGAGTAGGACTTTCATAACTACACACTATTCCTGAACGTGGAACTGACGGAATCAACTCCAATTCCGATACTGTAGGCTGGCAAACCACGGATTCCTCCCACGTAATGGCAATAATATCACGATCCCGATGGTTCTGAAAGCGTGTAACGGTGAGTTCAACTCATTCATAAGCCATAAGTATCTACTAATCTCTCTGAAACTCCCCGAACCAGACGGCTTCAACGTCCAACGGGATATGGTCCTCCTCGCTGCCAAAGCCGCACTCTTAACGTCCCCTCTCGACGACCAATTCTCTCTCACTGATATTAGCCTGTACGTCGTCCCTCCTCAGTCACTAACTGCCTTTCACCTACTCACCTCACCTCATAGACACGGAAACATCGAACACGACGCCTCCCTATCCCGTCTCGACCGCGACCTCGGAGACCACATCCCCTTCAACGAGTCCATCTACACAACCCTCTCCACCTCCAACCCCGGTGTCGACTTTTACAACGCCACATCCGCCGGTCAAGTCCAAAAAGCCCGGCTCGAAGAGTCCAAGTCCACAAACCCAAAACTCCGTAGTACGATCAAGGAGTTCCAAGTCCGCTCGAGGGAGTCTTCACTCTACCTCATGGTCATGAGCGGTAATGAGACTCTAGGTGTGGCACCGAAGAAATTCGTGGACGTGTTCTTCCGGGAGGAGAGGATGCCGATTGAGGAAGGGTGGAGGATTTCGAAGGTACCGATTGATCAGACGAGTGAGGTGCCGATTGTGGTGGAGATTATTAAGAATTCGGAGTTTGAGCCGGAGAGGGAGCAGTGTCCGTGGGTTGTTTTGGCTCCGGGTGGGGCGGAGGATCCGATTAATGAAGGGACGATTTGAGATTTGGAGGTGGGGGGAGGTCGAGCTGAGCTTCAATTTCCGCCTACTTGGGGTTTGAATTGTTATTTGTGTATTTATTCGTAGCCATATGGCAAGGTGTATCAACGCGGGCTTGGAACCGCGTTCTGGTCTAGTCTTTGTGCTAGATTGTTTGAGCTTCGTATACTGCAAGAAAACAAGACGCGACGCGACGTGACTGAGGTAAGAGCCTCGATGCGTCGACTTACGACTCGGGTACCCCTACGTTGGCACCTCACGTGTTTGGGGTTGTATAGCTATTTCCAGGATCCGCAAGAATCCCTTCAGCACCGGGAGATGAAAATAGAGATCTTGGGAGCAATCACCTAGTGCGTTCCCCTCGACCGAATTTTAGTCGTTCAAACCTGGTTTGGGCTGGCGTTCAGAGTTGTAGACACATTGTATCGGGTATCATATATCAAGAGCGTATTTACATATGTGTTCAAAGTATTTTTGCGAGTATGGAATGTTATGATCAACGATTGGCTGATGACCATCGTGGGCGAGAGACCCCGCCGGTCACCAGGGTGTACCCTTGATCAAGATCCCTGAGGTGTCCGACTCTACCCTCAAACCATGAAGTGATTTTTCTGAAAACCGTTTGGGCCAGGAAAACCACATGCTCCCAACACAACCCCAATGTGACTATTGAAACCAAAGTCTTTGCCATCATTCCCGCATTGGATGTCCTAACCACCAAACATATGATGATAGAAACAACTTGAGCACTCGGAGGGATGCGAGAGAAGAGGCTGGGGATGGTCCTATAGCCGGAACTGATCGCGTCCATAGCACGCCTCCGAAGGGAGTGAGAGTTGTCACCAGACATGAGAACCCCACCTCGGCCTCGCCAGAGAGGAAGCCCGCTCGGAGGACTGGAGCTATGCGATGTGTTATTAGAATGTTGTCGACTGCTGCTACTGTTACTACCGCTGGATATGGGAGGTGAATGACGTTGTGGACTGGCTGAGCTAGCATGTACCGGCGGTTGTACACTCACGCCACTAACATGAAGCGTAGAACTTGTGGCATTTTCTTGTGGAAGGCCCGGGTAAGAATTTCCCGGAGAAAGCGAATTGAGTGGAACGGGAGGCGACGGATCTATACCGTCTGGGTGGAAATGACCCATAAAGGGAGGATCAACTGGGGAGGAGGAGTCACCCGCCTCCATTAGCTTCTGTAGGCGATCTTGCAGCTCCTCCGCTCGTGGCCTTTGCAAGGGATCCTGACACCAACATGTCTCAACCAACTCCCATATGTTGTTTGGACACCATCCTTTGGAAGGTCGTTCCGGTCTGACGCCAGTGCTCACCAGAGAGATAACCGCAACATCTCCGACATTCGGAAACGGTGGCTCTCCAGTCATTATCTGCATCAAGTAAAATCAATGAAAGTCGGATTGCTGAACTTCTCTTGGGCGCACCTCGAGCACCGTACAGGCAAAAGCGTATATATCTCGCGGGGATTTGTGTCTGGTTACACCATTTTGCCTTGAATGGCCCTCAACATCGACTTCCGTTGTTGGCGAGAACCTGAACATCTCAGGCGCCATCCACCTAAGAGACCCTTTGGGATCCCCGCTGCTGATTGTGAGCATTGTTGTTAGACTATCTGCCAACCCGAAATCCGCCAAAAGGCAGCGATGACATTCATCTACAAGTATATTGGCCTAAAGAATTTAGTTGGGTTGCATTCTATGTGACAAAGCGAAATGCGTACCCCTTTGATGTCTCCGTGGACTACAGGGGGTGAGAGGGAATGTAGATACTGTAGTCCGGATACAATCTCATAAAGCTGGGCGAGGGTATGGGTATATCAGTACAACGGCTATCGTTAGACAATAGGAACACTCACTGCCCGGGTCTTATCGTGGCCAGGATTCTCCTTCAAGAACGCGGTGATGTCTCCATGCTCCATCCAGGGTGAAACGAGGCAAAATCCCGACGGGAATAATCGGGTATTCACTCCGAGCAGAGGAAGAAGATTGGCGTGTCGGAGTTGTGCCCATAAGAGTGCCTCTTTGCAAAAATTCTGGCGGTGCGTGAGCGGATTACCGAGAAGTCCGATTCAGGTTACCCACTGCTTTGAGTTGTTTCCTCCTTCGCCCGCTCTGGGTCGTGTGTACCCGCAAAACCTTGAGACATACCGGCTTTCCACCGACAGTCCCTCTGTATATATCCTGGCAACAACACAGTCAGGACTGATGATTTCATTCAGATCGAGCTTCGACTCACTGCAGAACCTCCTCCGGTCAGTGGGTAAATCCCGTCCCGTTTTATGTCGTGCAAGAATAGAGACTGGGGGAGTGTCTGGAAGTTGTCGACCAGTTGTTTCAAGCATTTCATGCAGCGTCGTCTGTAACCATCGTCAAGCTCGTGATTTTGTAATTTCTTTGTAGCCTAGTGTCAAAGATACCACAAAGAGGAGAGATAAAGCGGACCACAAACTGTATAAAGCAATTCAACAAAATACGGTGCAACAGCCGAACCAAGTTGAAGGAGAAAATTTGCCGGTTCTTGCTGTGACAGTAATATCCGGAGATCGTCTGCGCTCTGGATGGGGTCGCCAGACGGAGGGAGTTGAATAGGAAAACTTTCAGGGGAATTCATCCCCGCGGAGCTCACAGGGCTTGAGGCAATTTTGATGGGCGTAGAGAGAAGGAAACTGGACAAAAGTACCAGTGAAGTACCTCGACCCTACAGCCTTACGACCTTTTCAGCTTGAACAGCAACTGTGTCTCTATAACATTTCAATCTGTTGCGTTCCGTTTTTGCTAGCATCGAATCTCGCGAGATCTCGCGCACTTGTTAAACCTCCGGAAACTTGATGATTCGAGTAGTACATCAGGATTCTTCGGGCGGAGAGATGCCATCATTAAGGAGCAGGAGCTTCTAGTCCGAAGGAAGGATTGAGTCAAGGCAGGCGAGAGAGACAAGTTGCTTAGAATCTGGCGCCCCGAGACTTCATTTTATGAGCCAAGTCCATGTTTTGAACGAGAAATAGTTCGTTGTTCAGACCGGGATAGTATGACCAGCCGAGTAAAACATGATGGGCGACTCGGGATGCACAGCGATGGAAATTGACCAACTGAGTCTCAGTCTCTGAAGCGACGACAGAGGATGGTCGTTTTGGGAAGAGGGAAAGGCTGGTTAGCGAGAGCAGACCTTAGAGCCAGCTGGCCCAAAAGTAT